CTTGATTCCTAAGATTGATAAGCATGATCATTTAAAAGGCTATAGACCGATTTCTTTATGTAACATGCTCTATAAGATTTTATGTAAGGTGTTAGTGAATATATTAAAGAGAGTACTTCCAAAAATTATTTCAGAAATTCATTCTGCATTTATTCCCGGGAGGCTAATTACAGATAATATTTTAATGTCTTTTGAGATGTTGCATAATTTGAAAAGAAAGACAGGAGGTAGCGCGGAAACATGCGCGTCGAAGGTAGATATCATTAAAGCCTATAATAGAGTAAACCGAGATTTCTTAGAGGGCATGCTTTATAAATTGGGTTTTTTCGATGGTTAGGTGCGATGGATGTTTATGTGTTTTAGAGATGTCAAATGTTCAGTGTTATTTAATAGGAAGGAGATTATTTTTGGGAGCGGTTTACGTCAAGGACATCCTTTGTCGCCATACCTTTTTCTTATTTGTGCACAGGGTCTCTCTACTCTTTTTTATGAAGCTGAGAGGCAGGGTTGGGTACATGGAGGCAAAGCTGGGGGGAGATGTCCTAGGATTTCCCATTTGTTATTTGTTGATGATTCGTTGTTTTTTTTAAGGCTAATGCCATGGAGGCTAGGAGAGTCAAGGGTATTCTAGGGGAATATGAAAGAGCTTCGGGCCAAGCGGTTAATTTCTCAAAATCAGGTATCCTTTTTAGTCCTAATACTAGGGAGGAGGTGCGAACTTATATTTTTAATATTTTGGGAGTTCGTAATTCTATGGAGACAGGGAGCTATCTGGGTCTTCCATAGTGTGTGGGTAGGAGCAAAAAGAATATTTTTAATTTTTTGAAAGATAGGATTTGGAGACGGGTGAATAGTTGGTCCAATAGTTTCTTATCTCGGGTGGGTAGAGAAGTTCTCATAAAGTTTGTGTTAATAACTATTCCTACTTTTTGTATGAGTGTGTTTGAATTACCATTGGGTTTATGTGATGAGATTCAAAAAATTTTGAATAACTATTGATGGGCAGGAAGAAAGAAGGGGGGAGAGGGATTCATTGGCTATCTTGGGATAAAATGAATAGTAGAAAAGGGAGGGAGGAATGGGGTTTAGGGATCTCAAGTGTTTTAATTTGGCTATGCTGGGCAAGCAGGTTTGGCGTCTTCTCACTAATCCATACACTCTTTTTTATAAAGTTTTCAAAGCAAAATATTTTTCGGATGAAGATTTTTTGTCAATAGTCCTGGGTAATAATCCTATTTTTGTGTGGAAGGGTATCTTGTCTTCTAGCATGGTCCTGAGACAAGGAGTTCGATGGCGAGTTGGAGATGGGGAGAGTATTTGTGACATCCCGACCCGGCGAAGCGATCCTAGGATGGCAGGCTAGCTAGGGTAGTGGAATGCGGGACATAGGAATGAATCGAATCATATATCGAAAAGGGGGAAACTAATCATTAGGAATGCGGGACATAGGAATGAATCGTAATCATATATCGAAAAGGGGGAAACCTAATCAATTAGAGGCGCCTTTTGGTGGAATGGTGCTGGAGAGTTGAAAAAACTCCAGGGGTTAAGGTTGTGCTCGCTTACGGAAATCCTAGGATGGGTGACCTCCCGGAAAAGGTTTCCCATTTCAACCTGCGGTGTGGGACAAAACCAGAGGGCGGATGAATCGAATCATATATCGAAAAGGGGGAAACTAATCATTAGAGGCGCCTTTTGGTGGAATGGCTGGAGAGTTGAAAGAACTCCAGGGTTAAGTGTGCTCGCTTAACGGAAATCCTAGGATGGGTGACCTCCCGGAAAGTTTCCCATTTCACCTGCGGTGTGGGACAAAACCATGAGGGCGGGTGTATGTGTTGGCCAGATTAGGCTGGGGCACAATCCCGTGGCCAAAGCGGACAATTCCTCTGGTGATTAGAGTCAGGGCGTGACAGTATTAGCAAGGCTAGTGATCCTTGGTTAGTCAATGATAGTTCCTTTTATGTGGAGGATGGGAAGCATTTTGTACCTGTAAATTTGAAAGTTAAGGATTTATTTTGGGAGGGGGAGAGGAGGTGGGATATAGAAAAGTTGATGAATCTTTTTTGTGTTAGGGATATTCAAACTATTATTAATACTTCTCTTAGTACCTGTGAGAGAAGGGATCAGCTGGTATGGCATTTTGAAAAACGTGGAGTTTATAATGTTAAATCATCTTATTTCCTAGCATTACGGGTTTTGGTGAGGGGAACTGTTGGTTTAAATGGGGTGTGTTGGGGGAAGATTTGGAGTTTGAACGTGCCCTCGAAAGTGCGAGACTTTATGTGGAGAAACTTGAGAGATATTTTACCTACTAGGGATAGGTTGATGAGAAGGGGAGTGAATATTGATAGGCGATGTCCTTTTTGTCAAGATATTGAAGATGTGGATCATGCTCTAGTTCTTTGTAGGAGAGTGCAAGATATATGGGCCGTTGGTGGTATAAGGGTGCCAAGTGCTAACGTTTCTTTTTTAGACTTTTTCATGCAGGTTGTCATCATCCAGGGAGGCTTCGATAGTGGAGGCTTTTGTCATGCATGCTTGGCAGGCGTGGTAGTCTAGAAATTTATTCCTTTGGCAAAACAAGTTTATCTCGAGCGTAGCATGTCATGAGAAGGCGGTACAGACTTTACATGAATATCAAGTTGCTTCTGCATGTTAGCAAATGGTTTGGGCAAGAATGAATCCTCACGGTGCTATAGATAGACAAGGGCAGAATCGCATGGACTTGATTGAGAATAGTGGAGATTGTGTATGGCATGGCCATGTTGATGGTGTTGTGTTTCAGGTAGCTCAGTTAGCTGGTTACCGTATTTGTTTTGAGGATGAAGAAGGAAGATTCATTTATGCATTGTCAGGTTTCTACGATGGTTCCCCAACACTGGCTATTGTCGAAGCGGTGGCTTTGCGTTTTGCGATCAATTTTGCAATTTCTAAGATGTCAGGCAATGGTTTTTTATATACTAATTCTGAAGAGGTCTATTATGCTTTACATTCTAGTGCTTTGGATTTTTCGGTATTTGGCTTAGTTTAAAACTCTTTTAGTTGATAGGTCTGATATTAAGGTCAGATGGGTTAGGCATCAAGCTAACATAGGTACTTATAAGCTTGCCAAAGCATCCTTAGTTGCTAGAGTTAAAGAGTGGGATACTATTCCATAATTTTTGTTGGATATTCTTTTCTCGAGGTAATGAAGTTGCATTATTTCTTTTCAAAAAAAAAAAAAATGGATCAATACGCATTTGACATCAAATTTAAAAATAAAATGGTAATAAAATAAGATAAGAAATGATTTAGTGAAACGAAGGAGTATTTTGTTTATTATGTTAAAATTTTTAACTACAAATTTACAATTAAACCACATATAAAAGTGGACGGAAATGGAATGCAAATTGTCATGGAAAGTATTAATTAAATGAAAAGAATCCCAAAAGGTATTAAAAAATTAGGGGATAATTGCAATTTTAGTATGAACTTTACAAAATTTTCTATTTTGGTGTATGAACGGAAGAAGTTAATAATTTGGTGAATAAACTCATAATTTTTTAATAATTGAATGTATTTTGCACATGTGGACAGTCGAAAAATCCTTGTGGAACGGCTGGATCCCATTTGTTCATATTTTTTTTTTGCTTATTAGGCGCCAAATAGGATTCCTTTGACTGCAACAGGATTAAATACACTATTAACATGCATTGACCATAAAAAACCTCATATCCCTCTCTTTTTACAATCGGAAACAAACAAGACTGAAAGAAATTTTTATATGAACGGAAAAATTTTTTCAACCAAATGGATTAAAAATGAATATGAATTAAAGTAAATTTGAACCGCTTTTCGCAATATGATTCTTTTCTGTCAAAAATTATAACAAAGCTCTAACATTTGCTATCATCTTCGGCACCAAATCTACTTCTTGTGTCAATATTTGTTTCTCTAGAGCTTAAATATGGAGTTTCAGCGATTGCATTTCTGCAACAAGAGACTCGTGCTCCCAGAGCCATCGCTACTCCTCTTGAAACGGCAACAATTAAAGCCTGAAATGCAGAATCTGAAATTCAAAACTATTGATTTGGTGCTTTTCATTTTCGATGGAAGTCAAGAATTTGGTGAATAACATAGGAAGAACAACACCCAAAAGCATAAAAGAAAGCCATGAGAGTAAAAAAAAAAAAAAAGTAGCATTAGCAATAACTAGAAAATCTTAAAATAGTCTTTAAGTGATTGAGAAATTTTGAAAGGTTGTTGTCGTCTTCTTCTTATGCATTGACTAGTATTTTTGTTATTAATGAGTTCGCGTTCTCCATTGACATGGAATCAGCTGGCATATAGCAGAAGAAGATAAAGAAAAAAAGGATAGATAGATTTTCAATTTTGAATAGAGAAAGCAAGATAAAGCAAAATTTAATTGAGTTTAGGATAATGTTATAGATAGATTGGAACAATCTCTATTTAAAGTCAATAAATAAAAATAGAGAGAAAAATCAGAGATGAATTTGTTGAAGTTAAAGTGTAATTCGACCAATCTGTGCAACGACAATAATAATGGCTCTGATGAAGGCAAGTGAACAGTGTTGTTTCAAACTCTGGATTGCATGAAGGCAGAGAAGAGGAAGATAGTTGAGTCGTTTCGTACTTTCTGAATTTTTAATCTATGTGGAATCATATTTGGCGCCTAATAAGAAAAAAAAATTATATGAACAAATGAGATCTAGTCATCCCATAGAGATTTTCGACTGTCCGCATATCCAAAATACACTCAATTATTAAAAAAATTAAGAGTTCATTCACTAAATTATTACTTTTTCTGTTCGTTCACTAAAATAGTAAATTTTATCAAGTATATACACTAAAATTGCAATTATCTAAAAAATTAGGGGTTTGGAACCATTCCCATCCACCAGGACTCAGTGGGCTCCGGCAGTACAAACGCTATTGATTACGTGTCATCAAAGTATTTCACGGTTCCCAATTCCAAGACTTCGGTATGCGCATATTACTCTCCAGCGCCATTTAGCAAAGCTATCGCCCTTAATAGTAAAAATAAATTAATAAAAAAAAATCCCTAAGCTTTTTTGCTCGTATCAAGCTTTCTTCCCTCGTTTGCCTCGCTTCGCTTTTGTCTCTGCACCAAAACACGATATCGAAGAAGAAGAGGACGAAGCAAAATGAGTGCTGCGATGGAATTGTTAACTTTCAAAAACCCTTACTGCTCGCCATTGAAGAGAGCTTCTTTTTCTTCTCCAATGGCCTTAGGTTTGGGCTCATCTCGGTCTCTCAAGTTCCAATATTTGCTTAACCCTAAGATTTGCACAGTTTCTATTGAAGCTCCTAAGGGTCTAGGGATTGGTTCTCATTCTCTGTCGAGCCGATCGATTGTGGCCTTCGCTGCCTCTCACGAAGAATCGGTATGCTCTTTAACCTCTGTTATGTATTCGCTTTGACAGTACAATTTTTATAAAGAATTAATTTTTTTGAATTATATTTTTTAGAGAAATTCAGAGATTGAAGTGGAGAAGGAAAGCAATGATAGTGAAGAATCACAGGAAGCTTGGAAAAAGGCTTTGGATAACTTCAAAGAGCAAGCTTTGAAAATGCAAAGTCTGTCACAAGAAGCGTACAAAGTGTACTCTAAGAAAGCACTTGTCGTTTTGGAAGAAACATTGGTGCAGTTAGAAAGTCAATCGGATAAGATGGCAAAGGAATTGACTGTAGAGGCTAAAAATTTTCTCACAGTAGCTGCTGAGACTTCTCCTGAACCAGTGAAGGATGTTGTCAGTACATTTGCTTCATCAACTGATGACATTAAGCAATTTTCTGATGTTCGTGACTTCTACATTGGAATTCCTTATGGTATGTATAAATTCTGTTGGTTCATGTTCATACTGGCATGTTTATTTATGATTACCCATTATGAGGATTTAGTTGTTACTAGATGTAAATGTAAGATTTTCTCAACAAAGCTGACTGAGCGCTGACTGTGATTCAAGCTCTTTCTGCTTTGATGCGGGTCATCAGTTAATACTGAAATGAACAAATTTCTTTTTATCATTTTTATTCATGGAATTGTTTGTGCTTTGCAGGTTTGCTTCTTCAAGTTGGTGGATTTCTTTCCTTCATGTTGACAGGCAGCATTTCTGCCATTAGGTTTGGTTTCGTTCTAGGTGGTTTTCTTTTGGGCTTAAGCTTACTGAGTTTACAATCATACAGGAGAGGAGAACCAAGTCCTATAACATTGAAGGGGCAGACAGGTTAGAACATGGTTTGTTTCAGCTCAGATCGGCTGGTTCCGTTTCTTTAGCAGCCAGCAACAGTTATAATATTTTGTGATCAAGTTTTTGAACGCTTGCATTTTCCATTTGATTAAATGTGTCCAGTTAAGAAGGTGGTTACATTATTTGTCTGTGATTAATAACATGTTCTGTCAGTTGAAGAATACCTGAAGAACCTTTATTGGTTATGACTAAACATATAATGGATGCTTAGTTCCCCTTACTGCTTCCCGATATGGGATGTTCAGCATTAGTCATGAATTTAAAAGAAGGCAACTATATGTTTATGAATTATTTTCATAATTATCTCATAATTATGTATAGGAGTTTAGCTCTGTTGTATATTTATTCAAATTAAGAATTTCTTGCATGTTCATGATCTTCCTGGGATTGGAATTCCTTTGCACCTATGAAAGAACAGGTATTATTTAGGATCATTTGATGATTACTAGAATAGATTTATTATCTACAGTTAGGTATGTTTGCATGTCACTCTGAGATTTACTATAAAATTTTAAAGTTTTAGCATGTTGAAACTGGAAATTGATATCATTTTTTATTTGTTTCATTTATCTCTACGTCTCATGTTATATTCACGTCCTTTATTACATATTTGAGTTAAAGATTCTCATCTGGTTTCTTTTGCCTACAGCAATAGCCGCCGTGCTCTTTCTTAGGGAGCTACGACTGCTGTCTCAGGTAACATTTCTTCATCCGTAATTCTTTATCTCGTTTCTCCCTTTCCTATTCCATATGTACCAAACACCGAAAATTCCTTTTAATCTCTTTTCTTTACTTCTTCTCCTTGGCAGAGAGCTTCATTCTTTACCTTTGTTGCAACCGTGATCAGGTTCATAATGTTCTCATGTTTCTTGTCTTTTTTATTTTTGTTTTCATTTTACTCCTTCAAACAGCAAATTCTTGCTTATGTTTTATTGCTAATGGAAAGTTCGGTTTCTGGAAGTAGGATTTCCATTGTGCAAAAAAACTATTGTCAAGGTTTGGTTATAGGTTTTGATGAGGGTTAAGGGTGCCAAAGATTTTAAATCAGGATATCAGAGGAAGAAAGTTGAAGAATGTGCATTCCTTAGGCAACCAACTGAAAGTTAAATTTTCTGGAATTTTCTTTCTACGGATGTTTTGTTCTCAAAATAGAACTGATCTGCATATTTACATATCCATTTCACTACAACATTGGGATTAATAAATTTTGATTATGAAACAAACTTTGAGTCATGACATTATCTGTTTGTAGGTTTACATAATTAGACCCAATTGTTGACCATTGAATTCATTTTGAAAGCATAAATAATGATTCTGAATGTATTATCACTTTTGGTCTATAGGAACCGTTCAATCGTCAGACCTCTGGATCTGAGAGGCCATAGTTGCTAAATGTAGTCTAATAGAATCGTCATATTGGGATGGTGGTCCTAAACTCTTGCTGCATGCATGGACGCAAGTCTTGCATGTTCATGTGATGTTGGTATTAGTAGAATGGAACACGTTGTGTAATTTATTTATTCCTTGAATCATTGTATGCAAGGACATGTGGGCATACACTTGTATTTGCACACATGATATAATTACAATCATGCATTCTGCAGCTTTTGTTGTATGATGTTTTAGTTTGTACCCTGATAACTTGCTGTGTTTTGCAGTGGTGCCGCGGTTGCATTCTATCTATATAGAGTTGTATTGAATGCTAAGGAGAGCCGCGAACCAGACTTTGGACCAGGAGCTGAAAATTGATAAATTACTTTCAGGTTAGTTTGGATTCACATGTGCACATATATATATATATATATAAACAATTAAATGTGCTAATCCTTCATCATGAATTCACGGACCACATATACCCACATTTTCTTTTTTGGGGGGAGTGGTGTGTGGACTTCCTTGCATGTTGAATTTTGGACAAGTATTGCTCAACCATCTGTCATCAGCATGCTTTAAAGAAAAATAGTGCAAAAGTTGGTTCCATGTTTCCTTGTAGCACGGGTTAATTAATGTTTATGTTCCTCTGCTGTGCAGATGGCATCTAAGATGATAATAACTTTGAAGAAGAGGATAAGGTTTCAGGATAGAGCTTGTTTGAATGGGTTTGAATGGCTTTACATTTGCAGATATGGAGAAGGGTTACAATAATCTTATGGATACTTTCCACACGGGCTCCTAAAAACTTGTTTTTGCCTTATGTACTGTAGGTCTTTATGATGTTCGTTCATTTCTTTAAGGTTTGCTTATACAGTTTTTTCTGTTAAAAAGTAGTAGTTGTCTTGCCGCTGTGATAATTATTGTGTGGAGCCAAAGTTACAGCTTGAAATTTGTTAATACAAGTATTAGATCCGACTTTGCTATCATCATGTCGTTGCTTGTCATGGTTTTGGAGACACATGCAGATCTCAATGTGAGAGAATCGGTTCTAGTTAGCCGCAAATTAATACCAGCGTAACACAAGTTGTTCTTTATTTAAAGTTATGTCCTTGGTGACGCATAAGTTAGGAGATCTTTTCATAAAATTAGAATGCACCGTCATTGGGAAATTATTCAAACTATAACATGATACATCTTTCAACTTTAGGTGCATGATGCGGATGCACTAATTTTCCAGTGTATGCACGCCAGCCCTGCATCTAATACTTTCGGTAGCAGAATGATTTGAGCAATGCAAGGTCCTGCATCTAATACTCTCTGTAGCAGAATGATTTAAGCAATGCAAGGTAAAGACACTGTCCGGAAGATTTAGATTTAAGAACCGACGAAATGCAGAATGCGATTCAAGTTCAGCAATTTGTTTGGTTTGAGAAAAGAGAGATTATGGAATAAAAGGGTAAAGGAAGAAAATGATTGTAATAACTGCCTTATTTGTCAACCTGGAACAAGCATAAACTCTTTTCTCAGTAACCAAGCTATGCAATATAATGTATTAAATATTTATCCATCCAATTTTAAATTTGAAGAATTTTCATCCAAATAAAGCAGCAGTTAATAATATATGGCACCAAAGCTCAACTGAAAAATTACTGAAATACTGAACTATTATGCTTGTTAAATGGTACATCTTATGGAAAATATACGGTGGTCCTGGTATTAAATGGCGCCACTTATAACTTAAAATTTACATACAAGTGTGAGATACTAGCTGATAAAACAAACCAAGAACAAGCCCTATGATGATGCTGATGAAGCTCCTCAGATGTCCCCACGTGGAGCATGGTGGACAGGAATCTCTCCTTGATTATCCAATGGCATGTATTGCGCCATGATAGCCCGTATCTCCGAGTCCATGTATCTCTGCAGAAAAGTTTAATAATATAAGAGTTTTATTACAATGCTCAATCTTCTAAGTAATGCAGTCACCATGGTAAGTAAAGGTCAAGTGATCCATCAAGTGTTCAAGCTCTATAATAATGAAAGGATTAATCTAATTTCTGTTTAGTAATAAGAAATTTCTCTGACACATACCCGAATTCTGTACTTGTAAATTGCATATCCAGCAATTCCAGCAGCAGCCAAGCCTAGAATAATAGTCCAAATAAAGCTCCAGCTAACTTCTGCGCTTGCATCTTTACCTGAATGATAACAATAAAGGTTTAGTCCAATGTCCCTAATGAACCGTAGTTTATCAGTGAGAAGCATAGAGTCATAATCCAAATGCATAACCATTAATAAACAATGAAGAGGCAAATTCATATGGTACATAGGTGCACGGAGTGATCCTAGAAACAACTACCTTTGGCTGACAGCACTTCTCTAGAATCATTTATCAGAAGAAGGATTAATCAAATTGCTATGGGAATACTTACTTATGCATGTGTCATGTTCTCGCATGTATAGTAAACCACTGCCACAGCTGCAGTCATAACTACCCCAAGTATTCTTGCATTTGCAATCTGAACATTGGCAAGCTGTTTTGTCTTTGCATTCATCAATATCTGTAACACAGCCAAGGGTAGGAACATTCCAAGTGAATCAGCATACCTTAATTTACCATGAGTCCTTATCATGTCAACTTCACCGACATTCACATGTGATATGCAAACTATGCACCTAGATAGCTGAGAACCCATGTGCAATTCGCAGAAATGCATGAACTTCAAACATGCAGAAAAAAGAAAAGAAGAAAAAAAGCAGCATTTCTCAAAACATATGAACAATAAATTGTAAAATGTCATGCAAAATATTTATGAATAGGAGCAAAATTGTGGTTGCACAAATTCATTGGAAGAAAAACACCAAGCAAGAATATTAGAGGTGCTTCCATCAATCTGAAACAGGAATCTTGTTGCTGTTCTACTACTTATCAAACATAGTTTGGACTGGAGCAGAAATTCTACCACATCATGAAGGTTTATGATTATAACATGAAATATAGAAACCAAGACGAGGAAAAACATACCCTCACAGGAATTGACTCCATCACCTCTGAATCCTGGAGGACACTTGCAACCTTGTGAATCCTAAAAAAAGAAAAAAGAAATCAGACAAGCTATCAATGAGAATCAGAAAAAATAACAAGTAATATAATAATCAATTAGAATCATTAGCAAGAAAGGGCAAAAAGAGCTCAAACTCACAACAAATTCAAATTAAAACTTACACAAGCAGAAAAAGTCTTGCCATCTTGGGTTTTCTTCCAGCATCCTCCATTATTAATTTCACAACGTAAAGCACCTGAAGCTGTTCAATCAACAAGCAAAACAATGATTTGTATGTAAATCTCCAAATGTTGGGTGGTTAATAGGAGAACATCAAAACTTCCAATAAAATTAAAAAGTATTGTTCACCCATCTCATCAAAAAGTTCTTGTTCAGTTTAAACAAGTGTACCAATTTGGAAACTGTTCCATCAAGTTCTACCTTAAGATTTTCACATTAGAGTAGCTAGAGATGGTACTTTACTGTGTCTTCAAAAGAAAAGGGACAAAACTTTCCTTAGTCTGAGATTGCTTTGAGGCACTGCTATAATTGTAGCATTCAAATTCAAAAACATAAAGATAACAACTAGATGAACCATTCAACATTCATACCCCCCCCCCCCCCCGGACAAAACTTTCCTTAGTCTGAGATTGCTTGAGGCACTGCTATAATGTAAGCAATTCAAATTCAAAAACAATAAAGATAACAACTAGATGAAAACCATTCAACATTCATGAAAAAATTAATGAAAACCCCCCCCCCCCAACCCCCCAAAAAAATAAATAAATAAAAACCTTTGCACAAAGGATGAAACATCTTCATATAACAAAAATCATACAATCAACCCCCCAAAAAAATAAATAAATAAAAACCTTTGCACAAAGGATGAAACATCTTCAGTATACAAAAATCATACAATCATCTCTCTCCTTGCAGATTATGTGATTTCAAGGTTTTGTAAATTTTAATCAATATTTAAATTCGAACTGCATTAAAAGCATTTACCTTCACAATGAGTATAACCATCACCAACAAACTTTACACCTTGTACCACAGGACATTCGCAGACTCTACCACGAAAAGTATCCTACAAATATAGAAGGCCCACCAAAATCAAATGGAATCGACAATGCAACAACATGATTAATATAAGAGCTTGAAATATCTATGAACCTTGCATGCAGTGAGGCTAGCATTCTTGTCCTGCCAGCACCCGCCATTGTTCTCCAAACACTCATTTGTTTCTATGTCTACAACAAATGATTCGTGATGAAACAATTAATACCATTTGCAAAATAAACTTCGTGCAAAAAACCAGCTGTAACATTATGGCTACTATAATAGTTAGTGAACCTCAAACGTTCCAAGTATTAAAGGGTCACTGATTGAAGGATGCACAACATTATATACATTGCCTGAGTTAGAAAAGTAAAGAGAATGCCGTGCCACAGTAAAACATTGCACTGGGCTATGCATAAAGTGCTAATTCCTTATAGTCATTAACAACTACAGAAGTTAATTCAACTGATAAGATAAAGTCCAAGAGATAATCACCTTCAGTTAAACATAAGGCTGGCTCAGATGTCTCTCGAAAACCTGCACAAATAGCCTTGAGAACTGCCCCTCTATCCAACTTACCTGAGAACAGCAACAAGTATAGGTCATAAATGTGAATTCTTGCAATTAGATAGCTAACCAGAACAGCAATACATGTGTCTCATACCTCTGTACTGTCTGTTGTTTACAACAAGGGTAGGCAGTATAGTCACATCTCCTCGAGAGCCTTTGCCAATCTGAATTTGAAATGGGAAACACAATTCCCAAATACATAAGAATTAACGGAATATCCAAAGAGGCAATCTCCTTTGCACAAAGAACGCCAACTTAAGTTTTGAAACAAATAGATCTTTTTAAGAGTCTACCTGTGCATCTTGTTCAGCTTTAAGAACAGCATTATCCACATCTGCCTCAGTATCACCTATGCATTCGTCTATCTTCTTCAGATCACCACCTAATGGAAAATATGAGAGGCAAATGTTATTTTATAATTCAGAATCTTGCTTGTTCGCAGCAAGCATCAGAGTGAATAATTCACTAAAAGACAAATAACTTGCAAACATTGGATAAAAGAAAGATCATGTAATTAAACAATTTTCAGACACTAACAAAACCCACAAATAGATATCAGCTGTCAGCTATGATGAAGGACAACCAGGTCGATATTAATGACAAAAAATGAGAAATACAAGAAAAAGAAAAACCAACACAGTATCAAAATGATGGCAGTATGATGCATCACTCCTCTGCATAGGATCAATCAGTTATACAGAAGAAGCTCATTTTGAGACCTTAATTCAGCATCACCATTACACAAGAGAATGAAAATCTAATTGAAAATGCCACCAAGGTAATATATTTATATATGAGCAACAAAATAAAAAGGAACCATTAGAAAATGATGAGGTAATTCCCTCCTCTACCTCCCTCCCTACCCACCAAAACCAAAATAAATAGATAAATAATAAGCTGGAAATATTTGTTACAATGCTTAACAGTACAGCCAATGCCCTACCAAGAGATTGGATAACTTGATCTGCACACTCTTTGTTGTATCTTTTCTCTTTCATTGGACAACGGATTGCAAAGTCAGTCAAATAATCCCACCAAAGCCAAGGCTTTCCACTTTCATTGGCCACTTTAAAGAAGCAAGCTTGACGCAAATTTTGAACCACAACATCTTTTCCATCGTATCCTCTACTAAAGTCCTGTTCAGGATCTGGAGCACAGTACCGCCCATGGTATATGCACTGAGATTTGCATTGTTTGCTCAGAATAAATGCCTCTGGACAGTACCATGTTATATAGTGTGGGGTGAATTGGGTGTAACCCTTTTGCTCAAGTATCTGAGCTGCACCTTTGAAGTTCTTAACAAATTCCATCTGGCTGTCACACTTTGGCCCACACTCATCATTGCTATTAGTCCAGAACTCATACTCTACACGTTCATCAGGATGTGGAAGAGCCTCTGTCCAATCAAGATTTACATTAACCATCTCCCCAGCAGCTAGAGCTTTCTTAATACTGTCTCCCAAGGACTTGCTGATAAGGGCAGAGGGAATATTGATCTTTTGCAGATACTCAGCATCTGCATTTTCTTCCTCAGGGGTGTCCATTGTAATCAACGGTTCAATCTTGTCATCTGAAACCAGAATCGCTGCTGCTCCACCCCTCTGGGCATTCCAAGCCTTCGAGGTGAAGTAACAATCTAAAAAGACAGATATTTTGACAATGAGAAGATACGTTTGAAAGCAAAAACAATATAATTAATTCCAGAGATGCCATGAAATAAAGGAGATATCTGTTGCTGTTGAAATACCAACTAAGAAGATAGCATCAAGTCCATGTAAATCAATGAAAGGTCGCTCAACTGTTTCATGTTCAGAATTCTTGCATTGCAGTCAGAGTAAGGTGTAATAGAATGAACTCTATTCCCTTTCCTTCGTTTGTTGAAAGAATTACGCTAATGTTGTGGGATTAATGTAATCAGTGAAAAAGCGAATGGGACTTCATGTTTTTACCAAACCAAAAAAAATTAGAAAGGTTTTGCGTGCTATTTGCATCTATTTAATGAAAAGACGTCACTTGCCTTTATAAAACAAAATAAGCACAGATATGGATAGTCATTTTTTAACATCTCACTGAAATAACTAAGACCATATTATAAATCCATGCTGTAAAGTCGTCCTTAGGCATTTTTCTTTGTAACATTTTTCACAATGTTTAACAAAATGTAATGAAAAATCATTTTGCAATGCTGATTATAGCATGCTAACCATGTACTTTTTGAGACACTTTGCCACCCAATTGAGATACAACTTTACATTTAAGAAGAGAACATGAGTGGGTCAAATTTAATGAATAATAGGTAATATAACAATGGCGGGGGAAAACAGAACTCAAATTAGAAACAAATTTTAGAAAACGTTCTGCAAGTTTCTAAAACGAGCAAGTGGGAGTCTTGAAGTCAACTAACTGGATGCAAAATCGAACCAAACAAGTTACACCAATAACAGTGATTATTATAGCTTTCCAGTTTCCATATATGGTCTAATTACCACTAACACTGGCACCGAATAAATAACTAACAAACTAACTCAAAGAAAAGAAGAAAAAAACAAACGAAATAGAAGCTACAAACTTGTATCATGATTCCATAGAATTTAAGGATTTTCATACACAAAAAGATAAAAACTCGGAGTACGAAAAAATTAAATACACAAAATTCAAGATGCTAACCTCCTCGATCGACAAGAACAAAAGTGGGTAGACCTCCAGGCTTGGATTTGAAGGAGCCATCAGCCTCATCAAATTCCTTGCAAGCCTTCTGATTAGCTTTTGGATAAACCACAGTCCCAACCAAAGTCCCTCCATACTGAGGAACCCCAAAATTCCCAATTGCACATTCGTAAATCCCCCTAACTGAATCCGGCGAAGTCACTTTCAAGCTATTCTTCTCAACGACAAATCTCCCAAAGCAAGACCCACAAAGCAAAAACCACACGAACACTAAAAATCCTAGCTTTTCTCTCATCTTTACACTAATTTAATTCTCGCTTTCGATCAAATATGAACCGAGCAAAGGAGACGACGCGTAGAATAGTTTACCAACTCTGCCTAGAGAAACCCGGTGGTGAAATAACGAAAAAAAAAAGAGAGAGAGAAAGAAATCTTATAGATTAAGAAAGGATAAAAACAAATCTGAAAGCGACAAATTCAATCAACTAAGCTTTTTTTAATCGATAAATTAAAAAACCCAGATAGGAAAAATTAAAAACTTGAATCAAAGAAACATATTTTTTGCTATTACAATATAATTTTCACAAGCTTATGGCGCTGAATAGCAATTTATTTCTACCTTAGGAGAAGAAAAGCATCAAACCGTGGTAATTACTTTTCTGTACCAGATCGAATTATACAAGAAAAGAAAAGAAAAAAAAAAATCTACAGGTATTGGCTTCTTTTGTGGGGTTTGTACGACTTTTAAAGGGCACGCAATCAACGACCCGTCTCCTGTAAGTAGAAGGGTTGATTTAGATCGCCATTCGTTAATGCCTATATTAATATAATTAACACTGTTTTGTTTGTTTTCTACTTTTCTAGTAAATTCCGACAAAAATAATATTATCTCTTTCAATCAATGATCTTCAGATATTTTAATTGAAAAAAATTTTAAATCACTGTTTTAATGGTTCAGATAATTGAGGGACCCATGATGGCACTATTACCTCTGCATGATTCTCACGTGTTCTTTGTGTAGAACCTTTTTCTTGACACGTAATAATTAAACACGAAACACAACTTCTGCCGGTCTGGTTCGTTCTGAAACCGACCCGCCGGAACGAATTTGACTGTTTGAATTTTAAATCGAACCCGGATGATTAGTTGGCGAGTCCAATTTCGTTTCTTGCCCACTTACTTCCGGCTCGGTGATCGTCGGTTAGAGCCAGGCTTTGTTAGAATCGACCCGAAGGAAATGGATTAATATTTCATAAACATTTTCCCAAACTCTAAATGGTAATATAAATATTATCTCACAAAACATTGTAAAATTAAATATAATATTTTGATTAAGCCGAAACATTAAACATTAAATATTATATGGTTGTTGTTGTCCAACGTTGCTCAAAACTATAATTAACATACTCAAACCCAATTGATTGATTTGATTTTTTTAGATAAATTTGATTTCTATAAGTAAATAAAAAATCAACTTGAAACAGATCAATTAAATAATCAAGCTAAAAAAATCAAATTAAATCAATGATTTATTTTTTTATTTTTTATATTATTTTTTTCTCAAAGGAGAGTAAAATTATGGAAGATGTTTCTTTCATTTGTTAACGAATGTGTGATCACCCTAAGTTGAAAGATCGATCCATAACATAAAATTTGAACTTATACTTCATAATGCAACTAACAGTTTTTATAGGTGGGACGGCTCAACTCAAATGTATCCATTGAAAATTATCTGATATACATATGTACCCTATTGATCTAGGTAGGGATTTTTTTTTTCTTTTTCTTTTATAGTTGAAATATACAATTTAAAGTCATTCTTAAATACAAAAATAATTTTAATTGTAATAAATTAGTGTATTAATTGTTGAAAAACGTGCTACTGAATAGACATGACATTTGAGAATATTTTATGGGTTTTGGATTAGCATCAAATGCTCCTTTCTTTCTTTTTAATGCTATCTCCAACTCCTAATACAATTTGAATCTATCATAGCCACGTGCTGTTAAGACTCAGAGGGCATGCAACACGTGAATGGAGAGCCAGCCCAGCATCCAAAAAATCCAGATCATTATTTTGGGCTTCAGTTTATGAGCCCAATTGCAATCGTTCAAGATGCACGATTGGGTTAAATTTTAAATTAATGCCTTTTAATAAAATGAAGAAAATATAGAGTTTACATTAGCTACACTAAGTACTACGACAGCGACGATTCTAACGACCTCACTGAATAAATGCAAAAACGACAACACTGACAAATGATGCAATGCTAAAAAAAGAAAAATCTATGGTCCACCTTCATCGAGCAATGATGTTACAGAAAAAATAAAACAAAGACATACAATAAATAATATTCAATTAAATCAATCCAAGAAGCATCAATGGAAGTGGTGGTGGTGGTGGTGATGATGGTGGTGGTCGTCAAATCCAAAGCAACGCAAAAGAGGATAACAAGCAGCGAATATGCATCCGCCAATTCCTCTGAAAATAGAAGACACAAGGAAGCAAGGGCAACAACAACACGCCAATAACGGATCGTCGTACGGGCTGTGTCCGTGCTGGTGATGGTGGTGGTGACCCATTATCTTTCTTTTTAACTAATTAAAAAAAAATCCAAAAATCAATCCTAAAAAGCTCAAGTAACGAGAAACCAAATCTATCGCCAAAATTACCAACTCGAGATTTAGAAAATTACGGTCGATTATCTGTTCTCCATAAAATCAAAAAGAAGAATTGGAAGAAATCTATGAAAAGAAAAGATCTAACCTGGTAATTTAGTGGCCAAAGATCTGGTTCTGCTACTGCTGCTATATGAAGAAGAGAGTCAACGGAAGAGGAGATCAGAACACAATTGTTAGGAATAGGATACAGAAAAGAAAATATTAAACGTATTTATCCACTTTGGTATCTTAATTAGCAAGTAGTCGTAACATGGAGGCAGGTAGGTACGCGCACACGGACTTGCAGCGGGCTTCTACTCTTAGCCGATGGCTAGTTCTGTTCTACCCCTTAACCCGGGCTTTTAAACCACACCATGTGTTAAAATTAACCATGGTTAAATGCTGTAACCTGCGAAATATTTGAAATGCCCCTATTATGCAAGGAGAATTGCAGAGTATTGAAGCTGTCCCCATTTGGCGCAGGCTTGCCATTCTTTGTCATAAATTAGGATAGTAGGCTTAAGATTATATATTGGAACATATCGTATAAATAAATTATTTGTAGAATTCTATTAAATATTGAAACTTAAAAATTGATCCAAACGAAAGAACTACATTTTTTTTAATCTTTTGAGTAAATTACTATTTTAGACTGGTCGAGACCTCTCTTTTCAGAATATATTTATATAATACCTCTATTTTGAGTCCGTCAAACTATTTAGTCTTTTTGTCTCCTCGTTTCTTCTTTTTCAATTCCTACGATGCATACTTAGACCAAAGATTAGCTCCAAACTTGCAATATGAAGGCATCACAAAACTTCACTTGGCATTTGCAGGAACAATGACTCTTATTTCAGTTGAAGGCCACAAAAATGCTAGTAAAGGACTTTTTAGAACATAAAGTTCAAGGTATACAACATCAAAATGGAAGTGTCAAAATTTTCTTTGTTTCATTGCCTAACAGTTAGCTGTGCCTGTAAGCTTAAGTCACATGGATCTCTTCTAGCTAGCAATTCTTTCATTCACAAGGCTTTGTACATACAACACAAATTGCATATCATGATTTAGAGACAAACTCCTGGATATGCAATGGTACCTCCAGCCAGGAATTCTTTGTGCAGGGTGATATGAATCTATTCTCGCTTATCCTCCTCAAGATCTTCTCCCAGCCCCTTCCTTTCTAGCTTAGTCGCAATATCGACACTGCTTGTCAATGCAATACCTTCCTCATCAAAGTCCTCCCCCATCTCCTCTGAATATGCATACCTACAAATCCACATCAAATTAGCAACAGCATAATTACTGTGATGCTTATTTTATAGTGGTTTGGCCCAAGATAGGAAGGATGCAGGCCAGGACGCAGGGTTACATAGTTACCATCCGTATTCTGCATAAATCTAACTCAAAATGGAAAAAAAATGCACTTCAGAAATTTAGACTCAAAAAAGGTTCTACAGGAGTTCCATTATTTATAGAATTTGTACCACAGGGGCTGTTGGCAATTTTTTTTTTTTTTTTTGGCATAGAAATTACACTAATTTTCAAGAATAAAAACATAGGATCAGTGCCTCTTGATAACTTTCTTGCCTTCCAAACTTGGACAATAATACCACCCTAATATGGTACCTCAATCAACGAATTCATAATCCAATTATGTCATCATGAGCTATCTAGATAAATAAAAGCTATGAGCTTTTTGACTGCCACAAAGTGGAGAAGCTTAGCTTTTGAATTATTACACTAACTACATATATGGCAGTAATAAAATGAGAAAACATAAAGAAAATAGGAAAAAGCTAGCTTGCAAGAAGTATGCAAAGATATCACAATAAATAGATAACAAAAAAAGCTAATTCTAACATCAACTCGTCAGTATGGTTTCAGTTGGGAAAAAGTAGACTCTCATTCACATGAATATCAGTTGAGACTTAATAAGCAATACCATGTCAAATGTTGACCTACATATCTAAGGATATATTATCAAACTTTCAATTCCCATCCAAACACCAGGAATCCATTGACTCTTGACAACAAGATGAAGGTTAGCTCTCCCCCATCCCATCAAATCTCTTCACCAATGGGTTTCAATTCTGAGATCTTTCAGTTGGAATCTCAGTTATATTTGTTATTGTTGCGTCCAGTTAAGTCTTATACATTTCTCTAGATGCTCCATCAAAAGGAGATGGATCAGGCTTAAAAATGTTATAAAGAAACTCATTTCCTCACAACTTGTCTAGAGAAATCATCAGATTTATGGCTTATAACACCAATTGTGCTTTGATATACCGATCATAATTGTGGCATTTAAATTATAATTGAAAAGAGATATGATCCTGTACGAGCCGCTTATAATAAAAAAATATAACTGCTCAAGCCTAAGGCCAAGAAAGGAGACAATGTTAAAGCGTACCTAGTTGGGTTGCGTGAAGGAGCCCATAGGACACATATCACCACCAGAAGTGAGTATGCAAGCAGAGTCCAGAAGGCAGGAATGATCCAAGCAACTTGCCATAGCTCACTTAGTGGGTCAGTTGCATTGAAGTATAGCTAAGAAAACATAATCCAGGGAAAGATGAATACTATTTCAAAAACAAAATCAATGAAAATATGGCACTTAATTTCATATGTCATTGCACATCCAGAAATGTTGAGTTCTCAATGCACTAGTTGGTGAAAGTATTGTTACCTCAAAGCCAATCCAGGCAATGGAGAGTAGAACAGACACTGCAAGAGAATTGGTAAATTTTCGGTACAGGTCCAGTTTAGCCATGTTTCTCCTCATCTGCACCCAAAAACAAGGGTGAAAAGGGGAGGAAAGAAAAGACCAGTCAAAGCATAAGAAGAAGATTAGTCAACATAATAGAAGGATAAACCAAGCACTAACTTAATATATAGATACATATTCTAAAACATCTAGAATAGGTTGAAACTTGAAAGAAAATGTTACCTGAAGCTTCTCTAAAGTTTTTGATAGAGATGAGAAAATCCAGACAATAAAACAGGAATCTAAGAAGGCAACAGGAAGAACTAAAAATAACTCAGTTTTCTTAGACAAGTCATTGATGTTCCCTAGATGTTCAACGAGCTGAAGTGCCTCTGAGGCCAAAAAATATATCAGACCAAGAAGAAGTACTTTTGATGTTATGCCACCAAGGGTTGGCTTTACTACGCCAAAGCCCATGGAGACAACCAACAGGAGAAGGCGAGATAGAGTCTTCTTGACAGTGCTAAAGGTCACAGCCCATAATGTAACACCCATCGGCCTTGATCCGGTTGAATTAAAATTGGCATATTCAAAATACCAAACAGCCATTTCACACATTCCAAGTGCTATAACAGCTGTGATGTGGTAATGCAGCTGTATAACATCCTTCCAGAATTGAACAAACCTTAAGAACCAAATCAGTCCTAATGCAAGGTAAGCCAAAGACATAATGCCATAAAATGTCATCAGAGGAGTCATCTTCCCTGGTAAATAACCATTAGGGTTCTTCCATACAGTCCTCCCCTTAATCAAAGTGCCCTGAAGTTCAGGATTACAAAACATGAAATAGAGGTAGTACATTCCAGTACTATTTATTTCCACAGTTTCAGGCTTCATTTTAGCTTCCTCATCCTTTCCTGCAAAGGATGTCTGAATGCGTTTAGGCCATTCTTGATTGTCTTGGTCTTTCTGGATAATTACCTCGCCTAGCTTACAGGACCCAGCTTGAGCAAGAGTTGGGTCACAGCAAATCGCATTCGTTTTTAGAAAAGCCCCTCCAATCCTTTCTCTATCTTTCACCTCAAATATAATAGCTTCCACCAATCCAGTGCTTTGCTGCATTGCGGGCTGCTTACTCGCAGCCAACTTTGTCCTTACAAAGGTGACATCTTCAAACCTGCAATCCAATCCATAAATGATACTTTCAACATTTAAAAAAACCCTATAATCCTGGAACCCTACTTAGAATTCATTTGAGTTAGAAAGAATTCCTATATTCAAGTGACATTTAACCTAATAATCATAAGATCAAAATAATTTAATAAAATTTTAACTTAGTCTAAGTTGCACTGTGGCACATTATCATCAATAAATCAAATACTTCAGTAGCAATTAAATAAGCATCCCTTTTGAAATTAAGCTTTCATCCACTTGCTCACAACTCAAATAATCAATTACTACATGTATGTTGATAGAGCTGCCAACCAACAAAGAAAAAGCCATATGTTTCCAATGTAAAAGTAAACAAAAGATTACCAGAAAAAGCAAGAGATAGTCTAAGTTACAATTGAGTCATCAATTAAAATAATAATAATAATAATAATAATAACAAAAATAAAGAAAAGAAAAGATACCTGATGAAAGACTTTCCTTGAAAGGGCTTATCAGGAGAAGTAGAAGAGGAATCATGAACTTTAGAGGCATAAAGTCCTTCACTGCCGCCATGAAAGAAGAAGGCATTTGAGCGTGGAATAAACGCTTCGTCGTTGTACTCATGAATCGATGCACTTGCCTCTTTGATTGTACATGACAATAATAATAACATTAAGCCTATCAAAAATCTTATTAAATATCGGTTGTCGGACCCCATTTTTCCATTTTCCATCTCCGATGATTCTAGCCGTATCGGTTTCTTTCTCTCTTTCTGATACTAACTCCAGTCCCTTCGATGACGCCAATAATGGCTGCTAAAGTAATTGGTAAAGAGCAAATACTAATTTTCTTTTCCTTTTTTTTTTTTTTTTTTTTTTACGCCAATAATGGCTGCTAAAGTAATTGGTAAAAAGAAGCAAAAAACTAATTTTCTTTCCTTTTTTTTTTTTATTTTTTTTTGGTTGCAAACAGACAGCCAATCGATTTTTTTTTTTTTTTTTTTTTGGGTTGCAAACAGACAGCAACGATTGACCAAACTGATCCAGTGGGCTAACAATTGATGCCCACTGATAAAGCCCTTTTATCTCTGGATTTAACATAAAATAATACTATATTTTTTTGAAATTACTGAATATTTGAAAAAACTTTTTCTTTTTTTCCGTTTTATATTTAAAATTTGAACTGAATATAATTTTTTTTTAAATTATATTTTTTTCTTCTTTGCAAATCTTAGTTGAAAATTGTAAATTCCTTTAGAAAGAAATTTCTATTACTTCTATAATAAGATTTATCTGTAATCAACGAATTAAAGTGTTTATTTCTTAATTAGAGCAATTATTTTTGGTTGATGAGACTAAATTGGGATTCAATTTCATATGTTTCTTAATTGATGCAGTTAATTTTGATCTATTATCCGAATAATGTATCCCTAAACCTTTTTATCTTTTAAAAAAAAGCTATATGCATAATAATTTTAATGTATAATTCAAATAAAGTAATCCCTTTTATCTTAAAAAAAAAAGCTACATGCATAAATGATATCATTAAAAAAAATTCTAATAATTATATGAACCAACTTTTTAGAAACTATTATATTGTTAGGGCGTGGAGCTATATTGTTCCTCTTTCTATTTGAAAGATTTGAACTCAAGCTAATTGTAATTTTTAAAATTATTTCAACGACTTGCTTTCCTTAATATTTATTTATTTATTTATTTCTAATTAATTTGTATATCCATTGACCTCTTTCTTTAAAAATCCTAACCCCCCATGTATATTTGTTGCTACAAATTAAACCAAAATTTTATGGCCATTCTTCATCAAAGAAAAAAAGGTGATGTTTTTAGAATAGCATACTCTAGTTAGTGGAGATGCCACTAAAAACAAGCTATGTCACCTTTGTTAGGGCATGTTACCTCCAACCTCATTTCAACCTTAATGTCCATTACATAGATTCCACAATTAGACAGAAGCCCTGCAATTCACACTAGAATTAAAAAAATGGTAAATTACCTAACATCAAAACCTAGAATTCCACTAACATGCCTTTTGTTGCAGGAAACCATATGTCTCTCTCTCTCTCTCTCTCTATGTGCAATCCATCTCTTATATAAGAAGGTGACTTGTAGTTTCCAAAACCAAACCTTTCTAGCTGAATTGAATGACATGGATGTAATTATTTATCTAGATAATGTATTAATCCCTTTGAGTCTCTTCCTGATGGTGGGTTACCATGCCTACCTCTGGCATTGCTTCAAGTACAAAACCTCTCGAACCAACATTGGAGTTGACGCATTAAAGAGGAAAGCTTGGTTCCTAGACATAAAAGAGGTAACCCCAATAACCCAATTCACCTCTTTCTTTTTTATGATGATTTTGATTTTGGTGATTTGGTGAAATGCAGGGCGATGATAAGAAGAGTATGTTAGCTGTTCAAAGCTTGAGAAACACCCAAATGGCGACAATATTTACAGCCACAATAACAATTCTAATAAACACAGCAATGGCAGCAGTGACAAACAACACATACAACGCAAGCCATCTACTGAGCAGTACATTTTTTGGGTCACAAACAGGGAAAATTTCTGTTCTAAAATTTGGGGCAGCATCTCTGTTTCTCATAATTAGCTTCCTTTGTACCTCTATGGGGCTCGGGTTCATGGTAGATGCCAATTTTATGATCAATATTGCTTCTGATGAGTTGGTATCACTTACATATACACAAAAAATAGTCGAAAGAGGGTTCTTGCTGGCTCTTATAGGGAACAGAGTCCTCTGTATCACCTTTCCTTTGTTGATATGGCTGTTTGGTCCTGTGCCTGCAACTTTGTCCTCTATTGCACTTGTATGGGGACTGTATGGTCTTGATTTTCTGGCAACTTAGCCAACAGCCAGAACCCCTGCCTATGATTATGTTACAGAAAAAGATATACCCAACACCAAATCAATCAATCAAAAAAGAAAGGATAAAAATTTGTAAACCTGTAAATATTTGTGCATTACACGGTTTGTAATAGTTATATATGGAAACTTTCCATAATATTTTCATTTGAGAAAATAATATTTGTTATATTTGAAAAAATAATTTATTTTAAAATATTTGTTAATTATGTGGTTTTAAAGAGTAATAAATATTTTTTTTTATATTTATCCTTTATATATGAACAATAATTATTACTTTAACTTAATAGTTTTTTTTAGAGAATTAATATTAAGAATAGTATAATCAATTTATTCAATAATTTATTATAATTTAGATAAATTTAATCTTTTTTAAGGACTTAAAATTTTAAGTGCGACTAGTATTATGAAATTTTTATTTCACAGTTTAGTATTTCCTACACCCACCTTTCAAAAAAAAAAAAAAAAAAAGGACACCCACCTTTCAAAAAAAAAAAAAAAAAAAGGTAATTCCCAACAACGGGCACTGGGCTCGGTTCCGACAGTTTTGGTCCAATAAAAACCGGATTTGTGAAACCTTTGAAAAAAAAAAAAAAAAAAAGGTATTTCCCAACAACGGGCACTGGGCTCGGTTCCGACAGTTTTGGTCCAATTAAAAACCGGATTTGTGAACAACCTTTGGAGCCCATGGTCTTCGTAGTTTGGGCATTGGGTTTGGGTTAATAAAAACATATACGCAGCCGAAACCAAAAGAAAGCATAAGTCATAAGCGTCCACTTTTGATATTCAGCAGCAGGGAGGTTTCAATGTCTTGTACTGTACAACTCTAACAAGCATCATCATGTAATTAACTAACAAATTAAGTCTATACAGTATAAAACATTGAAAATTTAATTAATGTATAATTGAATAAGGATTTATGATTTAAATTAAATTTTCAATTAATTATTTTCAATGTATTTGAAAATAATTACATTTCGACACAGATATAATCCATTTCATAAGATATGTGAAATTTCTAAATTAATTTGTTGGTGCATATCGAAATAAATTCATTTTTATAAAATTTTAAATGTGAATATGAATAATTTCAAATATTTGTTGGCTCAATGAATTTGAAATAATCTGAGACACTCAAATAGCTTAATAAATTTCTCTATATCAGCGGCCACAATTTGTAGAGCTTTTGATTTTTATATGTAAAATATTAAATTGATTTGTAATTAATATTGCAATTTTTATATTTTAACTATTCAATTTTTTAAAAATTAAAATATTTGATGTATTAAATTTAAATATTTAATAAGTGAAATTCTATAAATTAAAGTGTTTAATAAATCAAAATCACAATGAAAAAGGGTAAATTTTTTTATAAGAAGTACAAGGATTACTCCATATATTTTACCTTAAAATGGTGATAATTCAAGACATTTTGGTGAATAAGTGTTGTGTTACTATTGGTGAATGAAATGTAATTATGTTTTTTTATTTGGGAAAAGTACACTAGGATCCCTCTCTATTGTAAAATATAACTAATTCGTTATTGTTTTTTTTAAATAAATTAAAATATTTTTATAATTTACTTATGTCAAATAATAAGGGTCTTTCATCTAATTTTTATATTTTTTTTCATTAAATACTTTATGAAATGATTAAAATATTTTTTTATTTTTAAAAGCATGAGGATAAATTAATTATATTTTTCAAATTATAGGAACCATATTGTAATTTTTTATATAATATTTTAATATATTTCATTTGACCTCTATATTTTTTTATTAATTTAAGAGAAAAGATATAAAAAATGAATAAAATGACTTAATAATTTAACAGAAATAAAATATAAAAACAAATTGAAATATTTTAAAAAAGACAGAGCACATGTAATTGTAATTCGTAAACCATACTTTTCCCTTTTTATTTTACTATTTAACCAAAGTTTTTGCTCCTCTGACAAGAGTGAGGGCCCCACCGACACGACATCATTATAATATCTATGCGCAATACTGTGTATTGATATTATTGAAAGAAAAGTCTTTAATTTGTGATTGTAATAAAGAAATGACAAATGGGAAATAAGAAAATAAATTTATTGAAAATACAGTAAAAAGAAAAAGAAGAAGAAGAAGAAAACCTCTTCTCATGTTGCTTTTTTGACTTGCTTTTTGTCGTCTCTTTTGGAATTTTTGCTTGAAAAATCAAGCTAACGTTCAAATGGTCTCCCTCACATTTTCCATGGACTTCTGTAATTCCTATCGTTACTGAAAAGGCAGGCTGATGATAAAATTGAAAAAATTATGTTGCAGCTACCGCTAAATATACCTAAATCAGTTAATTTCTTCGAATCAATTATAATAAGACTACAGAACAAACAATTTATATATGCCCATTTCAACTAATTTGAAACTAAAATTTATAAAGTTATACTATGAGCTATCTTTGGCCAATGATGATGTATTTGCATTTCCATTTTTTTTTTTTTTAAATAAACACTGCAAATTAGTTGTTTTTGCCCATGATAATGCAAACAAATGGACAATACTAAAAACTTCGTCCTAGATTTTATCTACTTTTGATTTCCATAAATAAAATAAAGGAACAAACTTTGAAAATATTCCTCAGACAAGAAGTGGCAGTTAAACAAAGATAGAAGAAAGGTCAGTTTTTGTAGAACATGTGCGATTATGTGTCCTAAAGTAAAAGTTGTGGTGACCGAAATTTAGGAAGTGCAGGCTCTCTTTTATCAATTTTGTCCTTTAGCTTAAAGCAAAGAGACCTGTATACGTGGATTGAAAATGCACAAACATACACTAGGGTTTTTTTTTTTTTTTTAAGTTGTTATTGTTTTCTTTTGTGTGAAGATGAATCTATCACTTTGAGGTAATTGATGGTTTGTCCATTTTCTTATTGTCATTTCACTTTGAAGGTTCTCATCCACCATGTCCATGTGCATTTCTTTGTCATCTATCTTCATCTTCATTCTTCCACCTTAGGTTTTTTTCACTGGGATGAAGACGACACATTTTTATTTACAAATATAATCATTAATAATATTACAATTTCAAGCGTTGCAAACAGATTAACTATAGAAAATTAGAGAGTAAATAAGAATAAAGAAACCAATAGATAGTTAGACGTCAGCTTCATACGTAGATTGATCACGAAAGGAAGGATGTAATTGGCTTATTTTTCTGCAAATTGATGTCATCATCCCCATTTTCTTGCAGTTGCTAGGTACAGATTTAATTATATATATAATTCTAATTAATTCTCATAATTAATTGTTAATTAATGAATGTCAACTACTCTAAATCTAACGTTAATTGGTGTTCTAGAAGGTGTGAACACTTTATTCATCTTTTGAATTCTTTCCTATTGATGGGATATTAGATAGTGGGTATCATTCTGATCTGCATGTTCTATGCTTTTCTTTTTCATTAGCCAGACTTAGAAATGAGTTTTTATCCATAAATTGTTTTTTTCTTTTTTAAGAAATGGTAGTTATGATGTTCTATGCTTTTCTTTTTCATTAGCCAGACTTAGAAATGAGTTTTTATCCATAAATTGTTTTTTTCTTTTTTAAGAAATGGTAGTTATGAACAAATATTATACAGATATTTCCACATATTTTCTCCAACTTTTATAATCTTTCTTTATCGTGATTTGACCTCAAATGTTAACTCAATTTAATTAATCTGCAGAAAATTATTAAGTAAATATTGTATAATTCATAATATTATTGCGATTTAATATATTTATCCATAATATGTTTTGCTTAATTACCCCTCGTTCTCTTTGATTTTTTTTTTTTTTAGCAGGATGAAGGGGTGAAATCTTTCTAGGCATAGAGCATGAAAGTTTTCTGTCTCAAGCAGTGCGCTTGTGGGTAACCTCACCTTTTATATTAACAGCTAAATATTCACATGATATGATACAAATTAATTATATATTTATATTTTTTTTGTCATAAAATATAAATTATTTCGAGTATTTTAAAAAAAAATAAATGATATTTTTTAATATTAATTTTATTTATATTATTTATGATAAATATTTTTACAAGTTATTATTGATTTTGAGATAAAAAATTATAACGTAGCAGAATTAATTATTTTTTTAATTTTTGTGTAAAAATTTTACTGTTTAAGCAATTTTATGAGCAGCGATTTTCTCGCTGACCATTTCAATCATCTTCCTTGAATTATTGCGTGTCTTAAATACTGTTGAACAGTAGCTGACAGCGAGGTTTCGTAGCACAATTTAAATAATCATCAATGAAATTATATATCTCGTACTGAAAATCTGAAACTTTTATTTTTATTTTTATTTTTATTTTTGGAAAAAGAGGACAACAACCAGATAAGATTGCGCGGAGATTAGCCTAGGGACTAGGACAGCTAAAACCACAGATATCATGAACAACTGAAACTTAAGTTTTTTTTTTTTGCTATATTTAAAATTATATTTATGGGAGAGGACTTATCTAGATTATGCATATATAGCAAAGAATATGAACGTCTTTTTCCTGAAAAAAATGAGAGAAAACAAAAATGATAGTCTTTTACGTGATAATTACTCCCTTCGTCTTCCTTTCTAATACTTGATAGAATTTCACATCCTTAACAAAATCGTTAATTTTGATTAATTATTGAGTAAATTAATCATATTACCTTTAATTTAGTATATTTAAATACTAAATTTTTGAATAAATAATAATTGTTGGTCGTATATAAAGGATAAATATGAAAAAAAATTATATTATTTCTTGAAACCATAAATATAACAACTATTTTGAAACATAATACCTTCTGAAGTGTGACAAATATTTAGAAGCTACGGTAGTAATTGAATGTATGAACAAAATGGTAGTAATTTGAATGTATGACAAAATATATAATATATATATATATAATATATATATATATAATATATATATAAGAGAAATTAATAATTTTTTTTTACTAATTAAATCAATGAAACATATAAGAGAATTATATTTTTTTACTAATTAAATCAATGAACATTTTACTACAATTTAAGATAATCATATTTTTTTAGTGGTCGTGTAATAATATCAAATGATTTATATTTATGGACGGAATAATATTTCTAAAAGATAATTATTAATTATATAGCTTAAATACCTAATATTAAAAATATAGTAATAATAAAACCCTAGTCTTTGATTGCTTGGCAAAGCTTCAGCTAATTGCATGGGGAATATACAAGAACATAATGAAAATTGTAAGAAGTAATTAATGTACTGATCAACTTATTAAATTTACAGACAACGTACAAAACAGAACAGCTCTCAACATATAAAAATTTCCATATCTTACACATGGGTTTTAATTTTAAAGTGAGTTTACATTAATACTCCGCTCATCTCCTTACCTAAATTAACTAAGCAAAACAGGGAAAACTATTTCTACTTGAAAATTACAAAACCAAAAAGCTCACTATACCCAAAATCCACAGTTAGGAATCGAAATAACCAAATGATTTTAAAATGTCTTCTTCATCAAAGTCACCACCAACAGAATTTACTATCATATCCATGTCCAAACCGAATTCACAACTAGTATCACTAATAGTAGAAGATGAGTTGACCCCAGAAATCACATCACCCGCTTGATGATGATCATGAGTAGACATCAGATAATGAGACAATGTTGGTTGGGTGTGATCTTCTGCTGGTAATCCTACTGTGTCGTCCTTAGACTCTTGTTTTATAGATGTTGATGACTCGAAGGGTGTGAAAAACGGGTTGTTGTTGTTGTTGTTGTTTTTGTTTTCTTGTTTTGTTGTGAAGCTTAAGATTATAGAAGAATCATCAGCGTTAGGAGAATCCAAGATTAGATGTTGCGAAGCTCTAAGCAAGTTGTTGCATGTATGGTGACCGTAGTATGTGGTTCGATAACTAGATGGTTCTTCTGCAATTCTTTGAACTTGCTTTGTTGCTTGGCAACCCTGATCGAATTTGTGAGTGCATCTAAAGTAGTTCCTACAATCCATAATAAGTATGTATAGTTATATTACAAGTAATTAATCAAGTTAAATCATATGTAATTAATTAAGAAAATTGTTGAAAATTATATATTTATTAAGAAAATTGTTGAAAATTATATATTTATAAGTGTATAAGTTACCTTGGATATTTAGCCTTCAAGATCACTTTCTGTCCATATTTTCTCCATGCATGGCCATCGTCTACAAGGTTAGGAGTGTCTCTTGTCCATGAATGAGAAGTCTTTCTGCAATAAATTAGAGAATATAAGTCTTATTAGGATAATATATTACACATTTCATTTTAAAGAATAATGTTTGTCCAAGAATACAACTTTTAGTTCAATTTGCAAATTAAGGTATTTCCTTTATTAATTATTCCAAGAAAGAAGAAAGAATTTAACTTTTTTTTTTTTTTTTATAAATAAAGTTAAACGCATAATATAAAATATAGTTCGAAGTCATAAACAGCCAGCTGTAACAGCTGTCACCTATAAATAAAAAAAAAATAAAGGAATATATTTTTTAATTAACTTCACTATCGTTGTCCTTATAATTAAAATAAATGAATTAGGTGCTCTTGTTTTTTTTTTTTTAATGAAGAAAATTCATCATTAGAATTAATGAATTTTGTTATCTTATAATAACATCTATAGGTTAAAATTCAATTTGAACTCTTGAGCTATAATCCTAGGGGTTATTATTCTAACCTTCTTTATTATTTTTTTTTTTTTTTTGTTATTTTACTAGGGGTTATTATTCTAACCTTCTTTAATATTTTTTTTTTTTTTTTTGTTAAATTTACATTTTTTTATTCTTAAGGAAAAAGAACAATGATTCTTGAAGTTAGTTTACAGTCATAAACGGGCAGTTTTGTTACGTTTTTAATATTAATATATAATAATAAAATAAAATGGCATATTTTTTTTTTTTTTTTGTTAATTTACATTTTTTATTCTAAGGAAAAGACAAAATGATTCTTGAAGTTAGAATTTACAAGTCATAAACGGCCAGTTGTTACGTTTAATATTATATATATAAATAAAATAAAATGCAAAAGAATCTTCACAGTAAATGACAGGATTATCCTTCAGATTAATTATCACGCTCTGGTATTATTTTATTTTTTCTTAAATTATAATGGCTAAAACCTCTGTAATTTCTATACAGATTTTCTTAATTAATCATAAAAATCAATATCTATTATAATTCATAAAAGATAATATTATGAAAATTGGTTGTTACCTTCTCTTGTAGCACCCTCTCCTTTCCTTCATTCTAGAAGTACTCTTGGTACTCTCATCAGATTCCTCAGACTTCCGGCAACCGTCCCAAAGAGGCGAACCGAAGGATGTACTGGCCGGAAACTGCGATACCTCGTCGGAATCAATAACTCTACTGAATATAGAAAGACTATTTGTAAAAGAATTAACGATCCTCATAACAAGATCTTCTGCAGGAACCGATCCTGCATCTCCATTGATGGACTGATCTTTAAGAGCAAGTTTCAGTTGATTTGCAAATTCTCGACCACTAACGAGCTCATCGATCAAACTTTTCCGATCTGTCGGTAAGTTTTCTGGCCCAGATGTCTCCATTTCCGGCGTGTAAGCGTGGGATTTATGCTCTCTCTCGCTGTGGATTTGTATATGCTTTACTAAGCGAAGTGAAGCACAGAAGAAGATAGCCTTTTATTTAAAAAGACGATTAAGGGAGGGTTAAATGAATCGTGCTAAGAAAGTTCTTACCAGGTGCGTGGTCTAAACAAATCCCACGCGCATGTCGCGAGTAAACAAGTGGACCACGCGGGATCTAATGGAAGTATCCCTTTGTCTAATTATCTTTACTTGTCAAGTTGTGCGCGTAACGTAAATGGCGCGTTATGTACTTAGGGTTTTCCCGTCGCTTACGAATAGCATGTGATGTCATGGTGGTGGCGTCATCTGTGTGGGTCACCCATAGTGCCACTTTATAATGTCTTATAAAAATCCAGGCCCCACATGTTAGTGACTGAAATACCGGAAATACCCTTCCTTAGATCTTCATCATCTTTCATTTGAACTGGGACTAACTATAAAAAAGGGAAAAATGTAGGGGCTTTAACGAGTTTGAATAAGACAAAAGTTCAGTAGTTATATCTCCAAGTCCTTGCTTTACAGTAATAATTAATGTTAAATAGTTACTCCGCCTCTCCCTTAAATTTCACAATTTTTTATTTTTCTTTTAATTTATTTCGATGATGTTTAAAAAAAAAAAATCAAATTACTAATTATTTTCCATAATATTTGTCACATTTATAGTTCAATGAGTAATAAATATTTTTTTCATATTGATCCTTTGTAAATGATAAATAATTATTACTTAAATTTAATGATTTTCTTAGAAAATTAATATTAAATTAAGGATAATATAATTAATTTATTCAATAATTTATCGTAATTTAGACAAAATTAATGGTTTTTTTAAAGAATGTGAAATTTCAAATGTAACAAGTATTTGGAACATAGGTCGTCAAATTGATTTTTTTTTTTTAATTTTATCCTTAAATAGATATATGTTCTAAATTTTTTTCAGTATAACTATGAGGTGTAATCTCCTTGAGAGCGTAGCACGTAAAAGTTTTTTTTTTTCTTTTCTATAATGTGCATTTTTCGGAGATCGAACTTGTATTATTATCTTTACAGATATTGAAGTCACTTATCACCCAAAAGACACTTTGATACTATATGTACCAAATTTTGTCTCAATTAAATGAACATAAATCAAAAGGGTAATTTAATCATTTTTTTTTCTAAAATTGAGGCGATTCAATCAATTTCTTAATTATTTTTAAAGTAAGAATTGTTAAATTTAAATGAAATGAGGGAGTAAAAGAACTATTTAATAACCCCTATAAGAATTAGCATTTGTTTGGAACTGAAAGGAAAGAAAATAGGGAAGGAAAATGAAAAAGAAAAATAAGAAAAAATTATACTCTCTCTATTCTATGTTTTATATATAGAGAGAAAATTTCCTTTTGTGACATTCTTTTTATATAGAAAAATTTGTTTCAAATGGTAATTTTGGGACTAATGCCAAAGAAAAGGTCCAATATATCTATGTGTTGGTTTTTAATTTAAATATTGACTTTGGAATAATTTCAAGAAAGTGACAGATATTATTGCGATTAAGCAATTAATGTTTCAAAATAGAATGTGCCGTGCTATAAGAAAAGGAAGACTCATTTACACTGTGCACACATATTAAATTTTTAGAGTTGCAAGCATAATTTAAATTATGTATGCAATTTTTGTCTACGCTTAACAAGTAATTATTCATGTCCAGAGAGATATACACACAACTCTAATAAATCCAACACCATTTTCATACATTTCATTCTAGTTTCAGCTCCAGCATTATTTTTTGTATTATGCCAGATTTTATAATTTGGTTTTAATGGATATGGATAAATTACCTGCAATTTTACAAATATTACGAGCATTTGACTCACCTTTTTTAATTTAAAAAAAAAAAAACAACCTACATCTTCAATGATGTTTTTTCTTTTGCTGTCTTTGCTTGTTACTTCTGAAATGTTAATTGGGGGTATTGTGGCTCCAACAATATTTTAAGAGTTTGATTATGGTTCGGTTTGGATAGTAGTAACCGAATGGTTTTCGATTCAGTCACTTCCATAACTAACTGAATTGATATTTATACTCAAAATAAATGATTCAATTCGAAATACTCAGATTAAATTCAAATCAATCTGGTTCGATTCATTACCGAACTAATTTTCATGCTCTAAGTTTGTATTCGGTCAAATTGTGAAATTTATTGGATCAAATTCAACCGAACCAACTCGGTTCAGTCCAATTCGCTTATACCAAATGCTCATCCCTATAGATACCATTTAATTTCCTAAAAAGACAGAGAGATAATAAGGTGGAGGGGAAAAGGGATTCTCCCTTTCAATTTAAGAAAAGTATACTTTTACATTTAACTAAGTTTGGGTTAATTATGAATTTTATGTACATTATGTTAATTAAAATTTTGAACTTAATTTATTTTTAGGATTGAGTTACTTCAGAGCACAAAAGTGTAATTGGAATTAATTTGATAAATTTAAAGCGTTAAAAATATAAAAATCAATTTAGAGTGAAACTATTGGAATCATGAGTTAAACTCGGTAAACGCTAACTATAAGAACGTGAACACACGGTCAATAGACCTTTTTGTTTTAATAGATATTAAAGTATGACTGAGCCTTATCCACTTCTATCGGTAGTTAACGGCCAATTCTAAAATTAATTTACAATTTATTGGAATAAAAGAAATGAAATATTAAAAACATTAACAATTGTTCTGCTCTAAGAAATTGAGAAACAAACTCAAGGAAAATGGAACTAAAATTAACAATTTCCCAACTAACTCCATTAAATACCCTTTTATTTATATCCCATTATTATTTTATTTAAAGGGCATAATCTCAAGTCAATTTGACACTTTGTCACGTGGGGATATGGGTGAGAGTTCACACTGACTTGTTTTTTATTTTATTTTATTTTATTTATTTTGACAACTAAGCAACAACTAGCACAAGGAGCTGGCATTTACGGGTTCTTTTATTAATTTTTCTAATTATAATTATATGTATATTTATATAAAAAATGCAACTGGTACAATTAATTATCTCAACAAATGACAGACTTTGATCTATCAATATTGATTATGAAGGACAGATGTGATTAATATGCCATGAGACATGTCTAGAGTGGGACCATCAAATTGGAAAAAGAGGAGCAATTTCTAGGGTACAAAATGAAGGTAGTTAACATAGTAACAATGTTACCATATTTCCATAACCTAATAATAACACCAATCTGACACGTGGAAGGATTCCCACATGAGTGCAAAGAATATGAGCGTTTGAATACTTGTTCTTTGTTTGTTTGGGCAAAGGTAGAAGACAAAATTGTCTCTGTGATCCCACTTTTTTTCTATTGATACAGATTTTAATAGATTTGAGTTGCATCAACCTCATTTTGACCATGTAGATAAGCTTTGATTATTTATTTATTTATTTATTTAAATATGAAAGTGTTAATTTTTCATTTTGTTTTGGATTTTGCTTTGAGATTGACATACATTTTCCAATAAGTATATCCAATTAAGTCACATCTTAAGTCATATTGTTTTGATGTGCAAGGGAAAATGGAGAGGGAGATAGTGGGTTTCCTTTGTTTGTTTGAGTGGATTGATACTAAGAAAGGAAAGTGAATCATGATAAATTTATGTGTTTGGACACATTTTTTATGAATATTTTAATTGATGTATAAGATTTATTTACACCCGATATATGGGTGATCTGATACATCAAATTAAAAAAAAAAGAGTTAATTGAAAGAATATCATTTTTAATGTATGGAAAAAATACTGTCTTGTTTGTGATTTTTTTTTTTTTTTATAGTGGGTTTCCTTTGTTTGTTTGAGTGGATTGATACTAAGAAAGAAAAGGTGAATCATGATAAATTATGTGTTTGGATCACATTTTTTATGAATATTTAATTGATGTAATAAGATTTTATTTACACCCGATATATGGGTGATCTGATACCATCAAATTAAAAAAAAAAGAAGTTAATTTGAAAGAATAATTCATTTTTTAAAATGTATGGAAAAAAATACCTGTCTGTTTTGTGATTTTTTTTTTTTTTGATCTTGTTTTTCTTTTTTTTTTTTTTTGAAAGAGGTCTTGTTTGTGATTGGTTTCCGAGTTAAATCATATTAACTTTCTTTGAATTCTTTATTTTCTTTTCCAATTAATTCTCAACCAAATAAAGTAAGGCTATTATTATTATTATTATTTTTTTATTTCTTTACCCTTTTGACCAAAAAAGTAGGTGTAAGAATTGAGCCTTCTTGCTGTACTACATTGCACTCTTCTTTGACACCTTCCACCCAAATAAAATGTAAAGAAGTTAAGAGAAAGAGAAAGGAAGTTAAAAAATTTTATTCGTATTGTTTGACAGAAAGGAAAATTTATTAAACTAGTGTTGGCCTCATTCATTGGATTAATAGGTAGTAATTGAATATTTGTTTCATAGATTAAAATGTTGATATAATACAAGATGTACAAGAATAAAATAGACAAAAATTACCTAGTTTTATGCACCTCAATTCCCCATTTACCCTCCCTCCCTTGATACCTCATTCAAAGAAAAAGATAGATACAAAATGTTAAAAGCAATAACACCATTATTATTCTCCTTTTTCTTTTATCTTTTCTTTCTAAAAGAAAAGCAATGAACCTCCAACATTCTACATATATAAAAATAATAATAATGCAATGAAGACCATAGGGATATAAAATTAGAATTGGTTGAAATAGAAAATGTTTCACATTACACATACGTCGTCCACCTTCTTTCGCATGTTCTTTAGTACTAATTATTGTCAAAAGTTTAATTGTTCAATGCATAAAAAACCAAAATTGGAAGCACCATAGCCACATTGTCTTTATTATATCTAACTTCATTTATATCAAAAAAATTGAAAGAGAGAAATAAAAATGAACACAGAAAACAAGTGATAATTATGATATTAGTAGAAAAGGGGGTATTAAACTATATATAACCACAATCTTATATGTCTTATTTTAGCCTCTAAAATGGTATTTTAGATGAAATTTAATAATGAACAAAGCTCCTCACATTGAGAAACCTAGGATTGCATTCATTATCTAACTTATTATGGCTAAAACTACCCAATGTAATTTATTCGTCAGCCTAATCTGGTACAAGCTAATCAGAGAAAGGTTTACACAAAGTGAATAAAGAGGAAGAGCTCCATTCATAGATAACAGCCGTCCCCTATTTGCTTTTCCCCCCAGGGTTCCCCTCCCCCAGATAACCAGAGGTTAGTACCTTTGCTTGAATCCCTTTAAGGTTGAACAAGACAACCTAGATTTTGATAATTCTCAACTATGAAAGACGATGATTGGAAACGAGCAGCATGTACAATCGAAGAGTAACCTTTTCAACAGTTGTTTTGCCCCCATTTCTATTGTCAAGTGTTAGAAGGAAACAAGTAAAATTTTCAAACTTGATATTTGCACAAAACTATTATATATACTAAATTCTCTCCTTTTTTTTCTTTCTTTGGATGGCTTTCAGGTCCTCGACATCATGTCTAAATTCTAACCACTCATTTTTTTTTTTTTTATGCTGAAACTAACACATAAATATCCAATCCAATTGGTGAAGTTACATCTTCTAGAGCAGTATTCCAACCTGTTTGTATGATTTCTTTGCCTGCTTCAATCATGCCAATGTAATATCGTGTACGCACCAACCAATTAGTTCGGCGTGATCCCTCATCCTCTTTTTACCTGTACATGGTTAGGCTGTGCTCGTTTGTCTTGCCTGATCATTTGATTCATATGTTGGCACAAGTCCTGCTAGCATGACTTGCACCTGTATACGATGACAGAAACATCAAGAGGAATACAGTAACAATTAAGAACATGCACTTCAAACAGTAACCACATCTCAAATACAAAAGTTGATGGGTCCCAACAATTTACAAACTCATCAGAAACTTAAAATGCAAAGCAGCTATTCTAATGAAGAAAGGTTTGCACCAATATTCCTCATCTTTTTAAATATATTTTGAAACAAGTTGAATAACTGTACTTTGAACTTTCTGATATCATTCCTTCCAGTAACATGTACAAGGTATTCTGATAAAGTGAATTTAACATTAGTTGCTCAAAACAGTAAAAAGGAGACATCTAGCACACAACCTTCTGTGAACCAAGGTTATTCTGCGATGGATAAGTGTAATGCATATGACACAGTGACATCTAGCACACAACCTTCTGTGAACCAAGGTTATTCTGCGATGGATAAGTGTAATGCATATGACACAGTGACATCTAGCACACAACCTTCTGTGAACCAAGGTTATTCTGCGATGGATAAGTGTAATGCATATGACACAGTGACATCTAGCACACAACCTTCTGTGAACCAAGGTTATTCTGCGATGGATAAGTGTAATGCATATGACACAGTGACATCTAGCACACAACCTTCTGTGAACCAAGGTTATTCTGCGATGGATAAGTGTAATGCATATGACACAGTGACATCTAGCACACAACCTTCTGTGAACCAAGGTTATTCTGCGATGGATAAGTGTAATGCATATGACACAGTGACATCTAGCACACAACCTTCTGTGAACCAAGGTTATTCTGCGATGGATAAGTGTAATGCATATGACATCATTGTATAAATTTGAGTACGCCCTACTCGACTTAAATCACGACCACGACCCTCACAGCTGATGTTTCACACATATTTCAATAAAATTTTAATATAGAGCCAGGTAACAAAGGCACAGCTCCAATAGTTAAAGAGAGCAACATGATTAATGTATCATTGTAATGCGGTTGTATGACAAGGGTCACTATAATTGCAAACAGATAACAAAGGCAGTGAGGGTGTTTTTATGAACAGGCGTTCATTCAGAAATTTATTTTCATACTATTATGCAAGATTCCTTATTATATATTCTGAGTTAAATTAAACTAACATGCAGATGTTGCGGTCAGGCGACTCACAATATATAGTGATTTTTGATGATCAGAACCACATTGATGTACGAACCTAATTTAAGTATTTATTATAACTTACACTTTGACTCATTCAACTAATAACAGCAGAGTCATATATATGAGAGAGGAAACGCAACGAGAAATGGGAAGATTGAGGGAAAGCCATATTTATGGTATGTAATGTTGTCGAGCGGCTGGCAACTAAACAGGTACATAGTCCACGATACATGTTCATAAAACTGGCAATGTACCATCAGCACTTCATGTGCCTCAGAATGATCCAGGACCTCATATCTCAGAAAGTCGTCAGCCTTCTCATGGCTATCGGATATCTGAAGGCCAAAATATCCTGGTGTATACTTAAAAAGAAAGCGAGGAGAGCAATGCGAACAACTATCATGAGGTAAAATGGTAAGCCAATAGGTCGGTGACTTGGCCATGATAAATCGCTTTCCCTAGCCGCGAGAGAGCGAGGAGCTACAATAGTCAGTTACAAAGCTATAGAGATTACTAAATCAATGACTAACAAGTACATCACATTAGAAATTAGATGAGACTGAACGCCATTATAATTGGGGAAATGGCAGAGGTATGGAATCCATACCACCACACATGCAAATGTAATGATTACTGCACGGCACCCAAACAGCAACATTGTAGTAGATGGATAAAAGCCCAGCGTTGGCTCTATTGAGATCACGCCAAGAGTGCTATATTAAGCGGAGGATAACTACTGCTATATTGTCGGACACAAACTGCCCATAGCTCCATATTTCTAGAGACGGCAATCTATTATAAGTGAGGCAATGGGATTGTGCGAAAACACAGGAACTAAAGACTCTTGGACATAGCGGTGTCAAGCCCATATCGTTGTGATCACAGTAAAGAGGATTGTCCCATGGTGTAAGAAGAGCTTGCGGGTGTCTTAATACCCCACTGCACAATAAAGTTTTGATAATGGCAGATAAAGAGTCCGAATATGGCTAAAAAAGTCTTTTATCCAGTTAAGAAGCCACAACAATAGGTACGGGTGAGAGAGTATACGATGAACATGAAATGAGATAAACATCTACCCAGTCGTCAATGCTGAAAGTTGTATGAAAAGCATGGTACAACAATATATACTATTGATAGAAAGAGAGCAACACAATTTAGGATGAGGAACTTCAGAAGATCATGCACAATTTATAGTTGAAAGAGAACAAAGTGTTTATAACCAAAACCAGTACACTGGACTCCTAATGCAAGATAAACATTATAAAAAGGAATAAGATGTAACGATGCCTAAGAATGCATGCCTATACATACTCCCCAAAATCTCAAACCAAAAAATTTGGCAATTTGGAAAGCAAACAACCTACAGTCCATAAACTCAACTAGCTGCCACGTTAAAGAAAAGATGCAATCATAACAACATTAAAACCAAATTCAAAAGGAAGTTGCCATATGCTTAGCAAGTAACTGCTGGCAACACAAATTAGTCTTGGATAGAATGCACATCCACTTATCAAAGATGGGTTTTGGAGGAGGTAAGAACATCTGGTTGTGTAACATCCAGCGCATTGTAACCAATGGTAACGAATACTTGGAAGATCAAAACGTGCCACACAATTTGTTTCAGGAGGATTTTAATAAAAAATGTTTAACATATCGTGAAGAGCTTTAAAAAACTGTAAAAAGAATTGGCAAAGGTATCGGGATATCATACCGTAACAAATGAGAATGCGTCTCGTTCAATAGCATGATATACTTGTAGTTTTCCTCATATGGTAAAAATGATATTTTTTATGTACTAAAAAAGCATAAATGAGCATGTAATGCTTGACCATTGCAAACAAGATATGACAAATCATCCATAAAAACCAAGATATATATATCATACAAGAGAAACAAAGAGACTAGGCATACCAGAATGCACAAGCAAATTGAAAACGAAAACAGCATTAACGGTAGAATTTGTACAGAGAAATCAAATAACCAATGCGTTGGATAATATTCCAGTGCCAGTATTTGCAACCAAAAGTAATTCTTTACAAGCACAATCGAGAAACTGTCCCATTGCAGAATCAATCATCAACATGCTATGAACGCCCCTCCTGACCACATATCTTCCATAACACCAAACATAAGTCCGCCATTTGGATCAAATTTGATAAACATCATTGCCCCTACCAAAATGTCAATAGTCGCAAAGTAAAGATGAAACAATGGCCCATCACATCTTTAATATGAAGTGATGTAGGAGCATACACATTATAAATAAATCAATAAGAACAAAATTCCAATGCCAATATCAAGCTGAAAGTCGACAAAGGACAAAAACTAATAGAATTATACTAAATGCACACAAACAACCTTCCCTACACATTTGTGCTGAGAAAGGAATAAGAAAGCAAAGAATGAGAAATGAACCAAGATGACAACTCACCAATCCCTATAAGCCAGTGTCATATCATCCGGTGCGGTCTCTATGATTAGATCAACACACCATTCCTGCTTCTGCAATGGCGGCAACAACGACAGCAGCACAAACTTTTAATGGAAATATGCAAGGTCCAAAAGAAGCAGTAATAGAGATGACAGAAAATTTCAAAAGAGTAATTGATAAAGAATGATACATCATTATAAGCACACATGACAACTAAATAATGTATTACAAAGCAATATAATATAATATATTTAATTCTAAAACATGTATAGACTGGAGGAAAAGAGATTCTTACTTCTGATTTCTGCAGCTCTTAATCCAAATGTATATACCAAACATTCACATCCAACTTATAAGTGACTAGTAGGCAACTATTTACAATTCTCTCTTTCTTCCAATCTGGTTAACTCCAGGTTAGCTCCAATAAGCATTCTTTATGGCAACCTAGATTTTGTTTCCTCTAATTGATGATTTCAACCCATAACTTGGCCTTGCATGACAAAAGTTTTCTGCATTCACTCTCTGAATTGCCAGTTATTATTATTTTGCTCCATGTCTATCGTCAGGAGTTTTGCAAGTAAAGGGAGCAAATTATGAAATTTGCATGTTCTCTAATTGCTTATCCTCACAGTAAGAACCCATACTTTGATCACTGCTTGCACGAGAAGAGACTGCAATGGCTAGGTACAACCAAATAATACCAATCTTGTAAAGCATTGGTCTTCATTATTACCAGTAGGCGCGAGGCCACGAGCAGATTTAATCAGCATTCTATTAAGAAGCTGCTGTTATGACGTAAGTTATTGTGGCTCTATGTCAGATACAAAGAAGGTGCTGTGCATATCAATCAAACATCAATTGCCATTTCCTCAAGGTTGGCTTCTGTAAGATCTCATTGCAGCAACTACAAGTGTAGCGTAAGACCTTTGTAAATGAATATTAACCGTCAAATGACACTAGTTATACGCTGCCTACAACGATCATTCGCCGCCCTAACTCCTTTTTGGCTAAAATACTGAACATGGAACTAATCATACACCATTTCACCAACACTTCACAGCAATTGTTTTGGGAATCTGATAACAACTGAACATATCTTTATCCCTACAACTAACAACATTCATAGCAATACCCAATACAACATTAACCTGACACAAATAAGAACACATAGATTACCAATCTGCTTTTGTAAATATGTAATTATCAAGTGTCAGAGAGATGATTTAAACCTTCAAACAGAGGAAAGCATATTTAAAACAAGAAACAAACGCGTATTACAAAGGAAAAGGGCGAAACAAAGGAAAGAACCTTCTACCTTAAATTATCTCACCATTATACAAATCAATTACTATGTGCCCAGATGTGCGTTCAAGAGAGTATATCCAATAGGCCAGAGGACAGCAGCAACTATGCTTGCTTTCATCGGTGATTCCACCCTGAATATTCAATAGTTTCCTACATCCTCAATGACATTGAAACTCATCTGCACAAAGTAGAAGTGCTATCAGCGAAAGTAACGAATAGGGAATACAGTATACATGCAGCCAGTGTAAAGAAAAAAAAATATCATGCGCAGTCAATCCATCCTCATCTTCTAACTAGTCTTGTGCAACAATCTCTGAGTTCATAATCAACAGCAACTGTAGAATTTCAGTTTTCCATCCCCTCGTACAGCTGCCAAGAAAATAAGATCTAATGAAAGTAAAATTGTAATTAGGCACACCAGCAATTTGGAAAAAAAAAAAAAAAAAAAGCACATGCACATTGATTGCCCACAATAAGTTATATCGAGAGAAAGGTCCATAGATCATATGTTATATGAACTAAATTCATCGAAATGGAATATCAAAAAAAATGCCGGTATTAAAATAATGTTACGATTAAGGCTTTAAATTTCAATTCTTCTGGAGTATGTCTGAATTGAGACCAGAGGGAAGAACATAAAAAGCTTGAATGCCCAAATGGTCAGCTCATGTTCAATGGCAGCTGACAGCCCATCATTGGAAAAAGTTAAATTACAAAAAGGAATGAAAACTACCTAATTTCGAAAACTCTAGGGATACTTGTAAACTTGTATTAAGTAAATTATGATACAACAAGGTTATCAAATCAGGCGCGCGAGACCCAAATACAGAGGCGAAAATTCATCTAAAACAATAATATCATCCCCAACACTTAAGATCCGCATATTAGAAAATGAAACCCATAATCATAGAGTCAAATTAACCTT